TATAAATGTTTATATTTTTATAGTCAAACGATTTGCAGATGTTACACGTGTAATGCGTATAACAAGAATGTAATCAGGATGGTGCAATACTATCTCTAGATGTGGTAACTTATCTTTATCATATCAGCTTGTGTTATGAATGAGTCAGAAATAACTATAAAATAACGTTGTTTGGAATGATTACGAGTGAATAAATTCTTATACGGGAATAGAAAAATAATTGATTTTTACAAGAACCGAATTACATATATTTGTCAGACAATATGTATATACATATATATACTTCAACTAGGTTTTAACACTTACAAACACGTGTAGCTTCAAATATTTCAAAACATCCTGAAAAGTGAAAAGTTGGTAGGTAGGACATTTTAGCTAAGGAGGGCAGCATAGATAAATTCACATATTACACGTCATCTATAGTTAATTGAAATAATTATTTACAATTAACGAGTAACAATTGTGATTTTAAGCAGTTGATAAATTTTGCTAGTATTTAGGTGTGCTTAACACGTTAAACGCCATGTCAGTCGCCGGCGACTGACGCTGTACTTTCCGTTCAGGCCACGTCAGTCACCGGCGACTGACAGTATACTTTTCGTTGGTCGTTTTCTGTTTATAGTTCGCATGACGGCCAAGTGTGGCCTGAACGGAACGGTAAGCAAAACAGGCTGGGCGTTTAACGTGTTAAATAATATTTGCAGTTAACCTAAATATGAAAAAAAAGGTATTAGAAAATCTGTGAATTTTACGCTGAATGAACTTATTCCTCAGTCTCACGACGTAATATATAAGATATATCGAATTTTAAATGTTAAATATCGCGTAAATTATGTATCGGTGTTAGGTAAAAGTTATTTCGAAAAACAAATAAATAAAAAGGTGACGAGTAAATAAATTTTATACGTTAGCTTTTATTTGTTCTTCAAATTATCCATTATTCGCGAATAACGAGTTTCTACCTCTTTAGCTATCCCCACTCTGTTCCTATCAGTACTGGCTTCAGTTTTCCGATCGCCGAAACAGAAGTTCGTGAGCTTAAACCTCGTTCAGGGACGCGCCGTGTCATCTTGAAATTATTTCGATTCTAAAAGGCGTTGCAAGCACGCGAATGCCTGCGTCGCACTGAAAGATGCGCGCGGCCTTGAGTTCTGCAAAATCAGTGGCTTCCAAGGTGGCAACAAAGTAGTCGATTATACAAGATGGTCGTTAGTTTGACATCACGACGAATGAACGAATAACGAATAAACGACTGAGGAATTGTAATCGAATAACGAATAAACTTTCACCGGTTATTTATTATTCGAATAAATTTTTATTCCAACACTGCTACATATGTAGTAGCCTCTGCATCAAAGCCGTAATATATGTTATCATTATGAAGTGAGTAAAATATTTTATCTTTCCGTACGCATCTTACAGAATCCTCCCAAATCTAAAGTCACGTGCGCCAAGTGAAAGATGGAACACTCGCGGGCATCTATATCTTTTGTTTTTATCATTTAAAATTTTAATTCACTTTTTATAGTAAGTGACATTCCGAAATCTAAAGTTTTCCAAACTGTATCCTATATAAAATTTGTTTAAATACACCGTAATAGGAACACTAGTACTGACAATGAGTTGACGTCGTACGATTGAGCTCTTTATCTCACTCAACTGATGCTTCTGCGATCGGATTTCCATGCTCTTTCACACCTGTCCGATTTCACGACCTTATTATAGCTTCTCCATCAAGTATACTTCGTTATGCATGCAAGTCAGTCGTTAGTAGTGACACAAAGTGAAGTTCAGACTCCCAGATAGCACACGTCTATTTTTGGCCTGAACGTCCTACGAACTGATCCGGGCTTCTTAAAGACGTACAAATCGGTACAAATCCTAACAGTATGTACAAGTTTTACAGTCCAAATTCAACTTTTTACAAATAAAATTCAACCTGTTGCAAATCAATTCAGCCTTTGCAAATCAAATTTAACCTTTTGCAAATCAATTCAGCCTTTGCAAATCAAATTTAACCTTTTGCAAATCAAGTTTTTCTACGAAATTATTATCTTAACACGTTCGTCGCCCAGCGTGAATCGGTCGAGTTTCTCGCGGGGCCCAAATCCGATAGTCGGAGCGCAAGAACGTAAACAGAGCGATTAGCTGGAATTTGCGTTCTATGTTACCAGAAGAGGAGACAAATTCTCGAACGCCAGGAAGCGAGAAAAAATGTAAGAAAGATTACAACATATTGTCCCGATTGTCCAAAATCACCAGAAATGTGTTGGAACTGTTTTAACGAATACCATGCTACGTAGTATAATGTTGTATTTTATTTTAAATATAAATTAATGTATAGTATAATATAGTGTGATATTCCATTCAATTCTTGTGTTGCAAATGGGATTTTTATAAATTACTTGTAAAATCCTATTTAACTTGACGAAGAAGAACGTCACCCATATCTGGGTG